AGAGAGAGAGAGAGAGAGAGAGAGAGAGAGAGAGAGAGAGAGAGAGAGAGAGAGAGAGAGAAAGTATAAATACGATGCGCTTCGGCCTCTGGGTTATTGATGACGACTTTAAATGCAAAAGCTGTGCTGGACCCCTCGATGCCTCACAAACGAATAACTTAATTTATATAAGTAACGAGCGAGAAAATTTATAAAAAAAAAGAGATGAAAGAGAGCGAGATGAGATAAAGGGAAGAAAGAATTGGAGGAGAAGCTTCGAGGAGCTCAGACCTAGTGCTTTCGCGCGCGTCGCGTCTCGCGAGACGGGATTATGATCTGTCATGCGGATGACGTCGCGCGAACGCGGACGAGTCGCGACGCGATCGTTGGAAAGCTCCAGGATCCGAAGTCTCGACATTCCTATTTGAAAAAAAAAAAATAATAAATAAAAAAGAAAAGTCTCTTCCTTACGCTTTGAATCAACATCATCCAGCCTCTCGTGCTCGTGCACACGGGACTCACACGTACACGTAACGTTTTACGAGTTATACTTACGCGAGAAACTATACACACGAAAGATTATACACACAGAGCAAAAAGAAAAAGAAAAACACTATAATACTATATTCACGAAGTGCGTTTTGCCTCCAGTTCCATTTTAATCTCCTATTTGTAAACTTGCCTTCCACTCTAAGGAAAGCCTTACATACATGCGCGCAAAAAAGATTTTAAAAAAAACGAAAAAAAAAATGAAACAACGTCGACACCACTTTTGTTGATATGTAAATCTATGGAGAAATAAAATAGGGATGGGGGATTAAAGGAAGTAAAGGCCACAGTGAGATCGGTGCATTACTTTTCTTCGCCCAGGGGTGCGTGCCAGTCTCGTAAAAACGGAGCCAACCAGATCGGAGAAACTGGTGTGATTTTTGTGCGGATCCGTACAATATAATGTTACTTAAGAACTTGAGAGCAAAGAACATAAATGCCGTACAGCGTAAACATCATGCGTGTCGGTGGTTCAGTCATAATATATATGTAATATATATATATATATATAAAATAATTTACGAAGAAATTAAGAAAAAAAGATGAAAGAGATAATTCCTCCACAGTCCTTTATTATTTAATATTGAAGTGAACAAAATGAGAAGTACTTGTATTTCTGGTGACCTAGATCGCATTGATCATTAAACAAAAAAGATAAAAAGATAAAAAAAAGTAAAAAAGATAAAATAAATATATCCTCATTTTTAGGTCACAGCTACTCGATTCGTTTCCTTCATTACTAATGGACCTCTCGTTTCAGCAACCATCTCTTTTTGTGTTCGATGGCATCTAGATACTTTGCTATGAGAATATTTCATTGTGTCTCTGTGAACAGGATCCACTTTACATATCTCTGACTTTTCTCGCTATCCTCGAAAACTTTTGAGAAGAATAGATATAGGTTACAAGAAAGTGCGGTATTAATTGTAATTAGGAACTCTCGCTCCCCATTAAACACCCGAAAAAAAAATAGGGGGAGAGAAAAAAAAGCACACATTGGATCTATTTGTAAACTGTGGTTATTCTGTGTCCTGAAGTATATTTCAACACTTACACTCTTTATTAAGAATGAGAAAGATTTGTCAACACACTCGTTTTGTAAAAGTGGTCGTTAGTATTCGACAGGCATCTGTATCTAAATGCTTCCAAATCCGCTTCGTTTCATCGAACACTGATACCTAGCGATTAAGTCTCTTACGTTACAAAGACTCTATTCCAGTATTTAATATAATAGTAATTTTATATCCGTATCGCAAAATCTATTTATTGAAAGAATTTTCGCGCGCCGAGGATAGGTAGATAGAAAGAAAGAGAAAGCGAGCGAAAAAAAGAGTGGCGCATGGAAGCTCTTGTTGTGAACGTTAACATCGAGGCAATGCCAAATCTTTACTGAATAATATTGAAGCGTTAGCTCTTCTAATATTTAATTTAGCGTCCCCTCGATCTTTGTTATTGAAATACACGTTGTTGTTCTTAAAAAAAAAAAATCGTTTATACCGTATTTGCGGAGGTACCAAGACACATCCTGCTTCTATCAAACGTTGTATTTATTTCGATGTGTACATACGAACGTGAAATTGATCGACGAAGTGAGTTTTCGTTCGATTACGCTAATTGCAATTTTCTTTAAACAAACAAATTCGTTGCGCTATAAACAAAGTGAGAACGTTGTACGTTGCAAAATAAGGAAACTTTTTTTTTTTTTAAATCAAATTATTTCGAGCATAGAGCTCTTTTCTTTTTTATTACTTTAACCGATTGTAGTCATTCAATTTTAACGCTCCTTAATTTCTCAGAACTTCTAATTCGAAAATTGTTTCTAGTGTATGTAAGTATATTCTCTGCCGTATCTCAAAGGCGTTCTTCACTTCTTGTCGTATATAAATAAAGCGGCACAGTTTGTATAAAGTGTTGATATTAAGTTAATAAATTGTTCCTATATACTTATATAGGAGCAAACTGGTGTTTATCTATAATACAAGCGATTTTATCTCCCCGACAAACACAGCCAAGTGTATCTGACGTGACGGATAAACTATTGGATATCTCTTACGATACACACGATTCTACGGAGAAGCTTTACAGCTGCGTCATTCTGTGCAATTATGCATCTATGAAGAGATAAATTACGTATTGTTTTCGTGTCTAATTATTCTTCAACAATTAACGGATGAACTTGTTCAAGATGTACAATAGAATTGTCTTGCTGAGAGATAAAACAGAGAAACAGTCTTTATTTTTTTTTCTTTAAAATACTATATTTTTCATACATAAATTTTTTTAAAACTCGTACAACATAACAAAATTCGATGATTATGCAGATATGTTTCGCTAGCAGTGAACAATGCGTGCTCTCACGATATACACTCTTTTGGTGGAACTTTGAATCGCAGGCATATCTCCTTCAATAAGTTTTTCAATATCCTCACTTGATGTTCAGAACTCTGAAAATATTATATATGATTATTATTTAGTTACCTTCAACACATTGCTCTTGAGTTAATATTTTATTTGTCGTGATGACTAGTTTTTCAAGTATGTTAATTGGTCACAAGATATAGAGAAAATCTGGAAACTTCTCTATTTTGTAGCTAATGAACGTGTTTAAAAAATTTATCATACAACATACGAAGACTGTGTTACAAAATTTATTGTCAGTACTGAAAGTCTGTAGTATACGTGATGTGGACTACAGATTTTCAGTACCGGCAGTAAATTCTGAAACAGCTTCTATATCAATCTTATACTTTATTTAGCGTCACGAAGCAAACTCACCCCGTCAAGAGTAATTGTTGGTATGAAAGACACCTGCGGCACGAGGGAATTCGTCATCTCTCCGTACTTGGCCAGGAGTTCCCGCCCCATTCCAGTGTTTGAACACTTTTTTATAGATTCCAGGTCAACGGGTATTCGCTCGGCGCACGTTTTCATTATTGATACCGGATCAATGTTATTCTCGATCATGCAAGCCACAAATTGCAGTTGTACCGATGGGTCCTTAATGACGTCGATGGAGCAAGCATGTATAATATTCGCCTGACACTCGATCGGTCCGTGCTGGCACGTGAACTGATACCCATCGTTCGTTTTTGTCGTCTGTGTTGGAAACCGAATACGTAACTTTAGAAAGCTTGCCATTTAACTCGTTCCTCTGATCTAATTGTCTCAATTAATGATTTTATTCTCGCGATTTAGTTGCATTAATTTAACAATATAACGCGGTTAATAATGAGTCTTGGTAAAATACAGAACTACAATGCCATAGAGTATCATCGTGACTTCATTTGTTACTTATATAAGGAAACTTATAGACAAAAATAAGGTCATGATATCGTCTTTCTTGTTATTGATTTCTGTGTTTTACCAGGATTTGTCGCAACGGTTTTCTTACCTTCGCCTTGCCATACGGCACCAATTCAATTTGTATGTTTGTCGACAGTTTTTGATACGTTGGAATTAATTGTTTTAAAACGAAACTACGTGAATCCGGGCATAACGCCTCGTAATACACAGCCGCATGTACTTTCTGAGGAGCCGGTCCATCCTTTTCGCTCAACGGTATCACAGCTTGGTTCTCAAGTTCTACAAT